AAATGTTAGGAAACAAAACTCCCAGAACACGGCCACACAGCCCGGAAGACCCACACCAGCCATCGTATGCCAGCCGTGAAAGCCTTTGACAATACCAGTAAGGTATGTTCCTAAAGACAGAACACAGAGTACCATCTGGAATCTCCATCTAATGATGGGCCTTCAGTGCTTAGTTAATCAGGTGATTAGTCAGCTGATTAAAAAATAGCAATTACAAAAGGTATCTCAGTGAACCAAATTGAGGGTTTGTGTGTGTGCTGTTTCTAATATAAGGCCTTACAAGTACTGCTAGAGGCTGCGTTGCTCCTTTCTCACCCTGGAGAAAATGCTTTCTCCAGTCTATAAAATATAATATTCTGTTATTTAAAATAGAATTCCCTTATTGAATTTTCAGTCTGAAAAGGGTTTCTCCCCAAGTCAGTACAACTGCATTCTCTTCAGAACATTTTGTAAAGGATACATATAAGGTCAGAAGCCTTGGTGTATCACTGGCTTTTAGTGTTGCAGACAGAAATTCCTCCAGCCTTGTTTTTAGATCAGACTCCCAAGAATCCTGAAAAACAAACACACCCACAAATGAGAAGAGCTCCATTTTACAATCCATGCTTGCCGCACAGCCTAGCTTTTTTATGAGCCAACAAAACATGTCAGAAATGTGTTCCCAAATGCAATTTATAACAAATGTAAATGCTCCTAGAGGTAGATCTTCTGCTGGGGAGATTGCAAATGCAGATTGGACATCAAAGCTGAAGGATGGCTTTCCAAAGGCACAAATCGCTCTAAGTTTTCCAGCATGAGGCCAATAAAAATGAATGGATGTGCAGGAAGATGATAGCATATGCAAACGATGGCTGATAGAATCCAGTGAAATAAGGGATACAGGGCTGTAATGAGCACAGTCCTTCAAGATCCAGCGGGGTGTGGCATCACACTTTATGTGGAACTTCAACTATGCTAGAATGCTCTCAGTCAGAGTTCCAACAGGGAAAGGCAGTACAAAGCAGGCACTCCATGTCTGTGGCTATTTTTGTTTTCATCCCCCCTCAGACCACACTAGGGGCTAAAGGTATTGAAAAGGGGGCAAAAATGGAGATGCTAACCTGATCACGCCCTGTGCAGTTTTTCCCCCTTCCAGCAGGAGGGAATAAGGAATACAAAAGTAAATGCCAACCTCACAGCCCCCTTTACAATTGCTGGGAGGACTGAAAACACAAGCAGTGAGCAACTGATGGAGTCATCTGTGATCATGTGCTAAAGGTCATAAATGTCAGTCAACTGGCTGAGGTAGAGGAGGACTCCATCAGCCATGTCATGCAAGCATAGCCATCAAATTAAAGGCCCATTTCCCATCACTGAGGCAAAGACAATACTCAACCTTGCCTGGGCTAAAGTGTTATGCTGCACCCATCAGTCCTGACAGAAAAGAGTGTAGCCTCCATTCCTGAACAAATCAAGGATGTACCTGGAAAAGTTCTTTGAAAGACGGGTGGATCATAGGGTTGGGAACAAAAGGCAAGGCATAGAAAGGAAGGAATTCTGTTGTCTGGCTCAGGGCTGCCCCCTTGGTCTCCAGGTAGGTTTTAAAATATGAGATCCTTTCATCCAAAGCTGCTTTATCCTGAGGAAACAAGGAAACATGGAGCACCATTATAGTTAGTGCAGAGTAGCAGATGCCTAAGTATACTGAATTACTGTAGCCTCACAGGTTTCGTTTAGTATTTACTGCCTGTCCTGCAAGGAATCACTCTTTAAACTCCACACCAGACATCCAGCCTGCATGTTTGCTACTCTATTTCTCTTGAAAAGAGAGCCCTGGGAAAGGATGCCAGGGGCCAGAAATGGAATCCACGTTATTTCAAACACTTTCAGGCAGTGACAGCATTTACAAACAATGCAAGTAGGAACAGGGACTGCTTGGCCACAAATCATGAAGTTCCTTGCTTAAATCTTACCTTTGCACAAAGTGGCCTTAGAAACACCATTGGCTGGGATCACACATCAAACTAAGGCATGCTTTTAACCAGGGTTTTCCCTGGTTCAGTTTACACTTAGGGCTAAGCTACAAATCTTGGTTTACAAGATGGCTTCCCATAACATCTGACATTTTGGCCATTCGGTTCTACAGCTTTTGTGAGACTCACTCTAAATACCTGCATCTTTGGGCAGAGGTCACTGGCCATGCGCAATTCAATGTTTGCCCAGTGGTTTTAATTGAGCAGGGACTCAAACCAAGAGGAACAACGGGGTCACACAGCAAGACTTGTCTGTTTTGAGATAGCATCAATTCTCACCTCTTCCATAGAGCAGGCAGCCTGCAGGTGAGCTTATGGCACCAAGAAAATAGCTCTGCGCAGCCACTGAGCTATCTTGGTATTTGATTACTAAACCGCCCGCCCCAACTTTGGAGTGGGCGCTGTGCCAGTCACACAAACATCAAAAGCTTTTGTTGCTTCCCTTAATGTAATCTTGAACCTGTGATAAAAATCACACTTTCCCATGACCCACCAGTGGTGAGAAAAAGAACGCCATTCAAGGCAGACATAGTTCCCCTACAATCTAAACATCCCACTGGCAGCAAATGATGTGGGAAGCAACTCAAACCCCTTTGCCTTTTGCATAAAGAGAAACAAGAGATATTTGGGATCCATTCCAGTTCGAAGCAGCCTGTTTCACAATTAAGTTCCACTGCCTTTGATGACGTTTACTCCCTAGCAAACAAACTGAGGAATGTACCATAAGGCAAAACTGTTGATATAGTAAAGCCACAACCAGCTTTCCTCCAAACTGAAGTCCCTTCCTTCAGATAAGCTGGGACCAGTCCCAGAATTACTAGTTAGCATGAGAGGTGTAGTCACAACACTTCTGGAGGCACTAGACTGGGGAAGCCTGACCTGGAGGATTAGGAACAAGCACCCATGAGCCTTAGGTTTTCCTCATGCTCCTCCACACACAAGCGGAGGACGAGATTCAAAACTTTCTCTATTGACAGCAACTACAATTTTATATTAGTGCCCCGAAATGCCAAATGATCAAACCATACTGCATCCCACATACCAGTGGGCAACGTTAAACTCAGTGGTTTGGAATCCTGAGTTTGCAGGCAAGCAGTGGTTTGAACAAATTATAGTTTGCTACCTTTGCACATTAATTGTAAAAAATGATATGCTACTGAACAGAAACAGAAGTTTCCAATTTCCTACTAAGACATGCAGAGGATGGTGCACCCAAGGAGGGCTACAGGTAGCAGGACCAACTGAGTCCAGCCTCTGGGCCAGTGTTTCTCAGCCTTGGCAAGTTTAAGATGTGTGGACTTCAACTCCCAGAATTCCCCAGCCGGCCATGCCATGATGGAAAGCTAATCAAATCAAACCTTTATTATGGCCTTCAGGCCAGAGAGATGGAATGGTGCTCTATAATCAAATAAATAGACCCCCATGCTAGAGCCCTAACACTTGAGGGAGAAGACAATAAAGGTCTTTTTCAAGCATCTAATTCTCAATAGGGAGGGGCTTGTGTGCTATTTCTTGTGCAAAGGAGCTATTCATTCCACGATAATAATTTGGGTGCAGCCTGACCAGCTCACTAAGAGGCAGCTGAGGAATGGGCAGCAACTTGTAGCTGCTCATGTAGTCTGCGACACCTCATTTCTAGCTCTTCAGCATCCCAAGTCCACGTGCTGAAATTCAGTGGCAAAAATGACAACTTTTTGCTGATGCAATTTTACTTTCTTTCCTAAGTAAGGACAACAGTGGGAGGCCTTTAGGAGACAAGGTACTCCTACCAGCAGGTACTACTACTTTCCAAATTTTCTCAGTACAGCTCCAAATTGTGCTACTACAGTCCTGCTGCGCTGATATGGAATTCTGACTGTGCAGTTTCAGGCCGTGTTTTTGAAGTTTGGGGGGGGGGAAGAGGTTAAAGATGGAAATGGGATGGAGACAGCTGCTCCTATTCCCACCTATAACTCTCCTCCCAGCGATGCCCCTTCCAGTGATGTCACTGCATCACTGCAAGGCCTCCTGTGGCCTTCTAGAAAGTCTGGAAGCTGAACTGTAATCCCTGGTTGTCAAAGGTTTATCCCCTCTGAACCAAGTAAAGCCACACCAGGGCTCAAAACACAAACCAGAAAAAGGATTCAATCAAATGGATTATTCACACTGATGGGGAATCAACTGTTGACCAATTCACAGCCACTCATTTAAAAAGAGTTTAGGGCAGCTGATTTAGAGAAGAACTTTTACAGGCTTCCCCATGGCGTGCTTTAGCAGGTAGATGGCAAAATGGATGTGAAGATAGAACTCCAATTTCTGGGCAACAGCCTCTTGGTCTCGGACTGAGGAAGGAATATGCTCCTCCCACAGTTCAAAGAAGACATCCTGGTCTCCATCAGTAAAGGACATGAGCAGATCCTTTAAAAGAGACAAAAAAAAAAAAAGAGTTGTTACTTCTTTGGCAACTTGTTTAAGACAGTGTTAAAGTGGAAATCTTATCTTACATGTTCCATGTCTGAACACCCATCTTGGGTTTTGGCCGGGAACCCTGCTTACTGGAGTCAACAATGACTAAGACCATCTATTTAAAGCTACCATTGGAGAAACAATCACAATAGCTATTCCATGGTTATTCCTGCTACAGGAAGTCCCCAGGTTAAGAACACTCAGTTTAAGGACAACCCATAGTTAAGAATGGAGCCTACTGTAGCAAAATTCAAGTTAAATACACAATGATGAGTTAAATACACAATGGTTAATTACACAATACTACTTATATAGTATTATACAATAATATTATTCAGGCTTACATACAAATTCAACCTAAGGACAGACCTTGGGAACGGAACTCGTTCTTAAACTGGGGGCTGCCTGTATTAGGGCAGTCCTCCTCAATCTGGTGCCCGCTGAAATATTGGGACTGAGACCCAACAACCAATGGAGAACCCCAATGTCTAAATGGTTGATCTTGCCTCTTTCAGAAAACAACTTCCAGCAGGGAGGTACTCATTCTGGGACCCAATAACAAGCTCTTTTGCGTTAAGAACATTACAGCTTTCTGGCTAGATCAGAGCAAAGGTTATACAGCCCAGCATCTTGTTCCCAAAAGTGATTTGTTAGACTTCTTGGAAATCCATAAGCACAGTATAAAGGCAATAGCTTTCTTCTGCTGTTTGTTTCATAAAAAGATGCATTCAGAGACACTGGGCCTGGAATATGGAGGCTTCATTTAGCTAACAAGGCTAATTAGAGGACCCATCAAATCAGTGGTTCTGAATAAAGGACTGACAATAAATGTGAAGAGAGATGGACATCAAGTGTACCATGCAGAAAATTAGCACAAAGAGCCTAAAGTAGTTTTGGATTTAAATTGGGATAATCTTTTAATCAAATAACATTTGTAGAGACATGCTAGCACAGTTTTCAGGAAATACAACAGATATTGTTCTTTAATTATGCTGTTAAGTTTTTCTTCCAAAGCAAACAAATTAGGAATACCTGAATGCCATGTTAAAAAAAGGTGAGCGTTGCAGCTTCCAAGTATCATTTTAAAACAGTAATACCCCAACACAGGCGCGCAGACACACAAAAAGGAAGCGTTACCTGAATGATTAGAGCCTTGGAGTCTTTAACAGAGTTACCTCCTGTTTTGGGGAGCGGCTTCCCTTTTATTTTACATTCTTTTGTAAAAGTTTTCACAGTATCTTCAAATTCTGCAAAGTCTAAATACTGCAAAGGCAAGATGGCAAAGGAGAATCTGTAATACTTTTCCCATTAAAAAACATGAGCAAAGAAATATCAACAAAAACCCTTCCAGGGGTTCCCTGGGGTGAGAAAGGCTGCAGGGGAATACTGTTCTGCAGTACTACTGGGCAGAACAACTGATACATTCAGTTGCTATCATTCTTTAAACGAGCCTTGAAGACCTGGTTCTTCCCCTAGGTGCTGGGTTGTTCGAGTGTGTATCTAGTCCCCAGATTATTACCTCTGTTTTTCTTATACGGGATGTGTTTTTAACTTGTGAGCCACCCAGAGACATTACAAGTCAGGCAGCCTATATGTTTGATTTATAAATAAATCAGTGGCAAAGGGCTCGGCACTCGCTTCCATCCCCTTCGGTGCCTGGCTGTGCAGCACCCCAAGGAGCAAGAGCAGCCCCTTTGAAAGCTGAGAGAGGCACCCAGCTCCAGCCACTGCAATAACTGAGCCATCTGGGAGGAGCGTGGCGGGTGGGGAGATGAAAGTGCACATGGCTGCGCTGCCGGAGGCTGGTCCTATCGCTTGGCACGACAGAAGTCCTCCGACCCATGGACAGATGAGTTCTGGTGAGTGAGTTAGTTGGCTTAGGAGCAGAGCAAAACACAGCAAAGAAGAAAAGAAAGAAGGAGACTCGGTCAGTCTCTAAGTGGCCCTGGCCATGCGGCTGGATGGCGGAGCTTGCAGCCCATATTTTTGCCACTCACAAATATGTAGCTTTGGATCATTTTCCTCAATAAATAAGGAACAAGTACAACATTTTTGACTCATTTGTTTAACTGGGTTCTCTTTATCTAGTTTTAAGACTTGTGTGGAGAACAGATCACGTTTTAGGTCACATTTATGCAGAAATATTGAAAATTCAAAAGGGTTCACAAGCTTTTAAGCACCACTGTAATTTAATTCCAAATAATTGTACTTTCCAGGGCCAATTTCCTGTGATTAATTTCCTACAGTGGTGAAACAATTTGCTGATAGACTGGCCAAATGTTTATATATTATCACAAGAAGTTGTGAGTAATGCATGAATTGCCAGATAATTACAGGAAAACAAATGTCTCTGTCAATGCCCGTTCTGAAAGTAAAACCTACCTCTTTCACCATTCCAAGTAGCTCTGCTTCATAAGCAAGTACATCACCCATCATCAAATGTCTAGCAAGAATAACCTGCAATATAATTAGAGTGTGAATTACTGAATGCACCTCTGAAATAAAGCATATCTGCCTTTGCAATACATATTTCAAAGCTGCTTTTCAAATCATTCAAATATTCTTCATATCTGAATCAGATATTTATAAGTGGGACTGGACAGACTGCATTCACACAATACCTTAACCCGGACACTGAAGCAACCCATCACTGAAGCAAAAGATGCCAAGTTTAGGTTCCCAATCCACCCCAAAGACAAAAAAATGAAAAACGAATAAAGCAAACTGAAGCTAACAGGCTGATCAATTTCACAGCAGTCTACGTATGGAGCGTTTCAACCAAATGATATGGAATTTTCCATAGGGCTATCAAAACTGATAGAGTTTTGCAGTTTCTCACTACAAATGCAGGTTTAGTGGCCAAGATGTGTGATTTGATAGCCCAAACCCCGATTTCCAACATGGAAACGCCACTTCAGGCCCAAGTAGCTCGGGTGTGAGTGACCAAAGGAAACTGAACTGATTTCATTAGTCATTTACAGTTTCATGGGATGAAAGAGCATAAATATTTAAGTAAATAAATGTTGTACACCAAGCTATGTATAGCACATTATCTAAAGAATGCAATGCAATGTTCTGGTTTTGCCTGCTTTATATGACTGCACACTGAGGTTTCTCCAGGAACATCTTCTCTACCCTATTTCAATCCACCTTTGCAAAGCTCTTGAGGCATAAGATGATGTAGGTTTGTAGGCACTCCCCAGCACTCTCCTCTGTGAAGCTTGAGTAATCCTCACTTTATCAGGTTTTAGGAAATTATTAAGAACGGAGTTGTTCAAGAAGGCTTTCGATGTCTGAATGTAGCCATCTAGTTACTTATCGCTTGTTATTTTCATGTGCTTTCGTTAGATCTAGTATTTTTCATGTTATTTAGTGATTTTAACTTGGGATTATTTGATCTGATTTATAACTGTGGATACTGTGAGTGTTCTATTACAAATTATTAATTGTAACCCACTGATTGTGGCAGGCTAAAATCAAATAAATAAAAAAATAAAAATATTGCCTTCTTTTTCAAAAAAATGTAATATGGTAGTCCTAATTTAGCTTGTCTCACATAGGAGGGAGAGAGGGTTCAGTGCTGTCTTTTCACCTGCTTCCTGCCCTAATTTTCTATCAGGTGAGATTTTTATGACAGTCCTATTCCCTACTCATGTTTCCTGAACTATTCCTTATTTATTGCTCTTGGGAATTCTTCCTTTCTGCACTATTTGAAATTCTTAACTTCTGTCTGCCCTCTTCTGTTCCATGATTTCAAGAAGGCATTTGGTCTGCCCTCTTTCCTCAGTTGGTAGATCAAGCTCACATTTTAAAATGCGAGTTGTTTAGACTCTCTTGTGAAAAGCTGCAGGTTTCTAAAAATAGTGTACAACAGTATGCCAGAGGTTTTCTCATCTTGGTAACTTGAATGCTCTTTGGGATCAAACGCCAGATTAACTCAAAGCTCTGTCATCATTAAGAATTCAATTCCTGTTCATACTGTTCACAAATTTCTCACTAGGCACAGAGTAGAAGATTGCATGGTGACTGCGTAGTCCAATTGCTAGAAATCATCTATTTTATTCTTTTAGATTTACTCTACAAACCACTCTAGGGCTGCTCATTTTCCTGCCTCTCTTACAATACTTCCTAATACCTCTTTAAAGCCCAGCTAGATGGCAGCATTTAGCCAATACTGTACAGTACTGGCTGATCTAAAAAGCTAAGCCAGGTCAGCCCAGCTTCATCCTGGAATGGATGGACCACCAGAAAATGGGAAGTTGACAAACACCCTAGAAAATGGCAATGGGAAAATACACTGCCATAATGATCACAACTCAGAAACTTCACTATAAACATCACTTTTTCTAATACAGGAATTGTAATTTTTTATCACGTTCTAGGCTTTATGGGTATCAAAACAGAATCCACATATGCACACTTAGTGTCTTAGTTCTGGTTTATTATTCAGAAAACATAAAGCCCATAAAATTTAAGAAACCATTAAAAATCATTATAAGCCCTTTGATTTATCTAAAGATTAATAAATTCTTAAGGTGTCAACCAATGGAGCGATTGTCTGATATAAATTTTCACAGCATTTTTTAAATGCTTCACTGATTGCCCTAAAGTGAGTTTTAATTTCCTTATTTCTCCCTAAACTTTTCTCTGAGTGCAACTACCAGCAATCTATGGATTCCCATCTTCATCTGTACCCATAACCGATTAGGTTATACCAATTTACAGCTCAAACCACTCAAACACATTATTATAGGCTAGAGGCCATACTGGACAATGACACTGCACTTCCTCAGGCACTGGGTGTCAGGCCCATACCTGCATATAGATAACCACCCAACCTGAAGCAGATTCTCACAAACAACAAGAAACAACAGGACAATTATATCAACACGTGAACAGACCCTGCAACAAATCAAGATGTCTATTTTGCCCCCACATCTATACCAACAGCAATATCACAAGCCCCAATGACACACACACGATTAGAGGTGCCTTCACCTGCTCTTCCCCCAGTGTGATCGATGCCATTATTTGCCAGCATTGCCCCTCTGGATTCTATATAGGAGAAATGAGACAAACTTTGTGCAAAATAATTAATGGATGCAAGTTTGACAGGACTCAAGACAAGGACAAGGTAATATCACAGCATTTCAACCTCCCAGGACACTCCATAGCAGACCTCAAAGTGACTGGGTTTTTTTTGGAAAAGCGAGGCTTTAACAGCACCACCAGACAAGAAACTCTTGAATTCAAATACATCAAAAGGTTTCGGGCAATCTTAGAAGGTCTCAATAAACACAGTTGGTTTTTAATATATTTCAACTGTTTCAAAGGTAATGTACTTTTAATCTGTTTCACATGTAACCTACATCTGCGTAACCAACCTATCTTCCCCTCCCTTTCCCCCGTCTCATCCCAAATTTAAATCCTAAACCAGTCTAGCCACTTTTTGTTTCTGATGAAGTGAGTTTCAGCTCACAAAAGCTTATGCCTCTTATAAAATTTGTTAGTTGGAAAAGGTGCTACCAGATTTTTTTGCCACCACAGACTAAGATGGCTCTCTTTTTCGATAGATACCTCAGCCCTTTTGTTCATGATGAAACCAACACCGTCACTTCCCTACATGCATTCATCACCTTTACTTCAGAATACAAGACTACTCTCATTCTGATCAGTTGCAGCCTTTCCCTTAGTTTCAGAGGCACAAAACTTAATTATTTCTCTTTCATACATTTTGTTTGCTAATCTCTGCTCTTTACTGTTTACTCCTCTTACACTCCAATCTTCCACACGCCATGGTTGTCACCAGATGGACCCACAGATAATGAACTCCACTGCTCATCGTGACTTTGGTCAGCTGAGGCTTTCACGTGCTTTTCAACAGGGCAAAGGTGCAGAAGCTTTAACTGCCCATGTCAATTTTAAGGACACTTTTCGACCAATATGCTGCAACCACAACCAAGGCCAGTTTTACCCTAAACATGTTCACGGTACTCTATGCAAGGTAGGATCTCTAATCTAGAGACTACCTTGCAAGCCAACATATCATTGTCACATCCTTCCACCTAGCAAGCACATGTAGTACAAAGGCACAAACTCTCATTAGCAACAGGAAATTGCAAAGGTAACAACAAATAGCTTTTAAGAGGTATATTCTAACACAATAGCTGCATTCAGACAAAATGCTTAACCTGATTATGGAATTAACCCGTGGGGAGTGAGTGGGTTGCACACAGCACAAAGGCAGATTCGCACAATATAGTTAACCAGAGAAAAATGAACAAGCTTAGAATGTTGTACTGACAATGTTAAGTGGGACTACAGTCAATGGGCAGATCTAGAGAAATCATATAATCCCTTAACAGAAGTCTTATTGATATTACAGATGCCTCTATTTCAAATGTAAAGCTGAACCTGGGAAACAGATCTTGATATACAGTCACCATTAACCAATGGAAACAGATCTAGACAACTCCTCCCTGTAAAAATATATCTGCTCAATTAGAAAAGCAACTTTAAAAAGATCTCGCTGGTAGCAATGAAATGTTATTGGATTAACCAAAAACTATCTATTTGTTAGCTTCACAAAACACAACAGTAACTTAAACATATGCAGATTGAATGCCTGCTGATAACATCCTTTTGGAATCAGCTAATAAGGTTTATGGTTGAAATGCTCCTCCACCCATTAATTTCTGTTGTGCTCTTTTTCTGTTACCCCACTTTGAGAACGATAGTGTTGGACTGATAGAAAGGAACTGGCTTGACATTCACTAGCAATGGCCTGCTCAGAAAGTGTAAAACATTGGAAAACAGCTGCCAACATCATTTTGCAAGGCAGGCTAGGCACAGAGGCACACAAAAGTTTACCACTCCTGTTCCAACAACAACAAAAACTTATATGGTTCCTTTTTCTCATATGGCCAACTATATGGTTCCTTTTTCTCATACATGCACCTCATGTATGCACCTCAGATTTGGATACCTTCTGATACTGTGTAACTGCAATGCATATATAATCAGAGATATGAGGCCAAAAAAAAATCCAAATGGGGTCAAAATATTCCACTTCAGGCACGTTAAAAGTTGTATGATAGATGTTTGCTTTTCAGGTGATTGTTCTAAATAATGCATGGCTCTCTCTTACTGGTTCCTATACTGGGAGAGAGAGGGAGAAAACTGCTAAAGAAAGTACAGAGAAATAAAAAAGGCAAACACCTTGTACTTCCCCAAAGCCAGGCTGAATGCTCAAGTCACAGGAAGGACTTCCTGCTGTGAAGGGAGCAGACAGGAAGGACTCCTAGGCTGTTTCAATGTGCACTGAGCATGTGCCCTCTCTCAGTCCTGGCCTCTTGATGACCACCTTTATGAAGAAATCATTAACAAAGATAGCAAGAAAATTGCCAAGGGGAAGCACGGCCCTCCAGGATATGCCAACAATGTGATGAGGATGAAGAAGCATTTCCCTCACTGCAGAAAATGTCCTGAAAGAATACAAATCATTTATTGAAAACTAGGAGATCAAAAGGAAGAAGCACCATTATTTCCAGAGAAGCCTGTATCAGGAATCCCGCTGTTTTCAACATTCTAATAATAATATTTTCTCCACATATTCAAGCTTTTGGATTCCTGGAATGTACTCTTTAAGCCTCATCAAATGGGCTAGATTTAATTTTCCCCATATTTTTATTTATTTATGAGTTTTTGTATAACGCCTATTCTCAAGATTCTAACCCATAATGCACTCCAAATACCTCCAGAGATTATGGAAATTGAGAGATATGTGCTAATTCAAACCATATTCTTCTGCAGATGAAAATCTGGAAAATGTTTATTATTATTATTTATTACATTTGTACACTGCCCGAGTCCCAGAGACATCTCTACATACCACATACATTATTTGCCCATGTGAGGATTTGGTCTGTATAATTATGGAGTCAACCTTTCTCGAAGTAAGCTAAGCAGGGAGAGATTTTGGAAGGGTATGGATGGGAGACCATCAGAAAATACCACACATATAAGCTAAACAGTGAAGTAAAAAAAAAAAAATCCCAGATGAGGACAACAGCAAAGCAGTTCCACCTTGTTGCCAAGAAAAATACATGGATATATCTAGGAGTCACCATGAATCAAGCTCGGCTCAAGGATGTCTTTCCTTAATTATACAACAATAAAATTCTACACTCCCATTAGTCAAAAGTGTTAACAAGGGCTCAACTGTACCTTAATTCTGATCTTTCCAACCACAGTTCAGAGGATCAGAATGTGCTGCCCAGTTGTTTTTCCTCTCCTTTTTCTTTCCCCTATCAAGTATACGGTATGCCAAATCCCTGCTCCCCTTTTCATTAATCTGTGGAGTTATACTGAAAGGGTCATTTCGCTAGTGCAACATTTCCATCTCTTGTAGAAACCTTGCTTTCATCATAGTGCAAAGACAAATTCAATGTAAATTGCCATTTTACTGCATAAATGTTTGAAAACAGATTGTGCAGCAACCAGTACAATCTCATTGCAACTTAATTTGAGTAGGTGTTTTCTGCGCTAGACTGTATCCTGCTCACATAAGCACTCATTTACTTTTTTCACTGGCATTGATCCAACATTGTTTGACACATTAAACAAAATAATGGCTAGCAACACCTCCAAATGATGATTTGAAACAAAAAACCGGCTGTGTTTGCATGACACACGAACAAGAAGTTAATGCGGTGGCCGCCTTACATACACAAATTAACCCAATTTGGTGTGAATATTTAATCAAGTTTGAAAGCTGACCTAAGGCTGTGCATATTGTGCGAGCACAGCTTCAACAGTGAGAAACGTAATAGTACAAGTGTCCCATAAAGTTACGACAGTAGCTCAGCATGTCAGCATGCAAACACATCAGATGTTTTAAGCTGGCTTCTGAATGGGTCGGTTGGAAATTATCACACAGGCCAGTATCTATTCAGATACCACAGCAAACTCAAATAAAGGAAACTGAGAAATTGGCTGGATCCATGCTTTGCATTGCACCTTGTTTTTAACAGGCCGGTCAGTGTGGTTCACAGATTATTTAAAGATATAAACCCTGGTTTCAGATTATAATGCCTGAGTGTGCATATTTGGTTAAAATGTAACTGCTTAACATTTTAGTGTGCTGTGTGGCCCAAAACAGCAGTTTAATAAATCATAATTAGGTAAACTATGGTTTAGTATATTAAACAAACACAGTAATGGCACGCTGCAAAGCATGGCCCATCTGAACTGATTCTGATTATCCGAATACTCTGAGAAAAGAAGGAAGATTAGGAGAGGTTCTTTAATAGCTTGGAAATGCTAATTATTCCTATGTTCATTTGTGAAAAAGTAACCATAAATACTAGTGGTATGGAACTAGTAATTCAAAAGTAATTTTTAAAAAAACTATGGCTTAAATCTGGGAGGGGGGATGTGATTTTTAAAACTCTTGGGTATTTTTGTGGCAAGAAACTAAATGTTTTCCTGGCCTCTTACAAACAGGGTTTGGATTGCAATACCAAAGCCAAGGTCTTCAATTTTAAACCCCAGGCTCTGCAAAAGTGCTGATTGGCCCTGGGACAGGCAGACACTCAGCAGGTAAAGCTTTATCAGGCAGAGATGCTGGGGAGAGATCCGGCCTTCTTGGCTCCCGAAGAACATGCCACTCGAAGAAACATATGTCGAAATGCAGCAGCCTCCCCCACCCCTGGGCCCTTGCATGGGCCTACAACCTCCATGCTCCCTTGCCACCATAGCTGGGGCTCCGAAAGTTGACGCTGTCTGGATTAGCACAGCTGCTTCCCACGCAGCCTCCCCCCCCCCCCCCCCCCGCCGTGTTGACCTAAAACGGCGAGCAGCCCCTCGCACCGGGATGGCTGTGAAGGATGGGAGCTGTAGTCCGGCACAACGTTGGGAGAGCCGGATGAGGGCATCGGAGAGGAGGCTTCCAATTCCCCACTCCCGACAGGCCGGGGGTCCTCCCATGAGTCCTCCCGGCGGCGGGGGCATCGCCGGCCGCCCCGCCAGCCTTACCTTGCCCGACGGAGTACGCCCAGCAGCGCAGCGCCTCCCTCGCCCTCCCGCGCCCG